TCCGTGATAACTGTGGTTCGAATATATCAAAATATCAAGAATCAAGAAATTTCACAATACTAAAAATTAAGAAACCATAGATTTAGAAAAGTAATCTTCCATAAAGAATGAATTTTTAAACAAAGTGTCAAAAGGCAATTAAATAAGTCGGTCACATATAGATCATATCATAAATCTGAGTAAAATTCGATGGTTCATATATATAATTCTTGGTAAATTGAAACGTGAAATATTTACATACAACTAGTCCTACATAAGCATAATACAAGGAATCAAAACACATTCTAACAATTGAAACAGATGACGATCAAATGGACCAAATTAAGAATAAATCACTTTTTTGACATATATAATGGATAATCGTAAAAATGAAATTAAGAGTTTTTAATGAATACAGGTAATTAAACAAATTTAGAAGAATTAAAGAAAGAACTCACAATGCCCGGGGGTTGAGTTGCTGTAAAGAAAGAAGAAGGGGAAGAAAGGGCTTGAAACTCTAGCGGTGTGAGAACCGTGTGGGGAGAGAAGAGTGAAGATAGTTCAAGATTCCAAAAAATTTAGCAAAGAGTTTAGTTTGTGTAACGGAAATATTGTTTGCTTTTTTGGATATATATACATTAGGAAACAAAGTTAATAAAGGGAGGAGAATTTAGACATTTCATTGCCTTACACAATTTCAAGTCAAAATCTTTCTAGTAATTTCATTTCTAGTAGATTTGTCAAAATAGGGCAGTCCAATCTAATTCAGCTTAAGGTATGCGGACCAAGGAATTCGATCAGTTAGGGCGGGTCAGCCCTTCATGTTAAAAACCCTTAAATTGGGCGGCCCAGCCTAGCCTTAAAAGCGTGTCACGGGTTGGGTGGACTGATCCTTCATTGTTTTCAATCTATATCCAAACTTGTATGTCAATTTGTTAACATTTCTAACATATAATTATATGAAAGTACATATTCAACACTTAACACTTGCCAACACATTTGAATCGATTCATAAAGTTGTTTTAATTAACATCATACACTCCTTCTTCATCAAGTATGTAGGAGGTAAATTTGAATGAATCAGCATTATATCCAAACTCATCTCTTTTTTCAATTGATGATGTGGTAATTTTGGTTGGATTTATCATCGAGGCAGGAGACAATATGGCTCAGGATTGCTCATTTTTGTTAATTTCACGGTTTCACTAAATTTGAAAGTGATTACCTAGTAAATTTCTATACCAAGGTTCAATCCAATTAAGTCTGTAGCATCTAACAATTTTGCCATATTCCCTTTTCTTTTTGAGCTGAGATTATCTTCTTTCGCATTTATATGCAAGTTTAATTAGTTGAACACTATCAAACAACTACATCATCAAAAATAATAATCATTAAATTCACTTTAAAATATTACCACTTTGAATTTGAATAAAAATGTATATCGGATTTTTAGTAGAAACAAGTGTTTGAACATTTTCACGATGGATACAACTTTTATACTTGGTGATTAGGAATTTTAGAATTGGATGTTTAATGCGAAGTGAGTTCAGTATTGTGTAAGATACCAATACTTACTCGATAATCACTATTCCTAGATTCTACTCTTTTTCACAATTTTCTTTTTAAGTTTAGAGTTTACATTAAATCATAATCATGAATGCAACTTCTATACTTGGTGATTAGGATTTGCAAAATGAGTAAAGCATTTTGTAAGATACTAAAACTTATTCGATAATCAATATTCCTAGTTGTACTCTCTTTTTTCACAATCTTCTTTTAAATTTCTAATTTAAATTAAATAGCCTTTAGGAGAAGGAGGAAGAGTACGAGCTAGCTTTTCCTGGATGCTCTATAGGAATCCATCACTATCCCTTCCTCCACCAATAAAGGTTCAGTCTAATTGCCCCACAAGACGGACTTAACCTAACTCCAGTCAAGCCTCAATAATCAGTGAACTGACTTGAGCTGACTTTATAAGCATCAGGTTTAAATGGACTTAAGAAATCATAACAAAAACAATCCCTAGTAGTGGATTGGACTTGGATGGCCTCAAAGGTTAAGTCCATTTTGACGGCTCTAATACTAAGTAACTACGAAGATCGGACAGTTTGACTTGTATAAGAAAGAAACCAATCTTTATTCTTCTTTCTTTACACATATGGATTATAAATTTCATACAAAAGAAATTTTACACCATTAGATAACACAATAATCAAGTAAAAAAACAATCATAGGTGTAAATAAGTGGATTAAAATCCCAAAAATAAAATGAATTATCGATGATCGTGATTAACCTATCAATCCAATATTTAAGTTAAAGCCTAATATTATCTAGTGGCTCTTAATTCCTATTTACTCACTTGATTGAATCGCAATATTATTAAAGCATGTTGGGTAATCATCAAATTAAGAATTGCATTGCTATTATGCATTTATCTTATTTAATATTCTTTACTTGAGTAGAGAATATTATCTTAAACAATCTTTCGCAAGGTAGGAGAAAGCCTACCTACACTCCATCCTCCCCGGTTTCCACTAGTGCATTTACACGGGTATATTTCAACTTAAAGTTTCTCCTCTTTTACTGTTAAAATTTTGCTAGAGACTTTATTATCAGTGACTTCCCAACCTATAATTGCATAATCCATAAGAAGATCAGATCTAAAAGTCAATGAATGACATCTAACCAAACCAAACATCTGCTTGCAATTTCTTTGCTTTCACAGTGGAATTAACTGCAACTGTCAATAAGTCTAAGAAAATTACTAGTATTTGATTAGCAATACTAAAACTTTGAAATAACTATCTACTAAGCGGTTACATAACACATATTATTGCCTAAATATCTATCAGGATAGCGCAAAACAGTTAAAATTAAAATTTAAAATTAAAAAATATGAGTACCTTGGGATTATGTTGCTTATTGTTTTCCTGGGAAACGCCCTTCTTTTTCTCATCAGACTTTGATTTTTTCTGGGCGGTAGGAACAGATTGACGTGATCTATGAGATTGGTGCGACTGTTCTCCATCAACAGCCATAGCAGAGAGACTGATTGATTTGGTTTTCTGCGTTTCTAACTGAAACCCCCAAAAGAATGAGAATATAGAATGCGAAGAAGATACTAAAAGGCGTTTAAACAAAAATTTGGTTATGCAAAGGGTGTATGTAAGACTAACATAACTTGTAAACCTTTCAAAAAGGGTCATATTTGTCTTTAAATCTTATGAAAAAGGGTTATTATATTATTTGTCTTTAACCTTCGTCATATTTATTTTTTTGATATATTTATTTTTATCATTCAACTTTAGATATATATATTTATCTTTATCCTTATATATTTAATTTATTATGGCACCATTTTTCATTTTTATTAGTTTATATGACGCCTTCATGGCTCCATGAGTATATACATTATTATAATAAAAAACTTATTTTGTATTTTGTAGTAAAATTTGACCCAACCAATGTGAAGATCCATGAATAAAAATTAACCCACTAGTAAAATTTAACCCAACTAATGTGAAAATTCATCTATCCTAATTTCATTAACCATTGGCCCTGATTTGATGTAAAACTTGATGTTTTGAGCTCCAACTCGCACTAAGTTTTACATCAAGTTTGGTGCGTGAACAGTGTTACACCAAATTTGGTGTAACAACTATTCATCACACCAAATAACTTTTTGAATATTACAATATCATTTCATTATACAAATTTTTAATTAAACATTAAAATAAATTGAATATTTTAATTAGGGATAATGCACAAGTACCCCTCAACCTATGCTCGAAATCTCAAATGCACACTTATACTATACTAAGGTCCTATTACCCCCCTGAACTTATTTTATTAATAATTTTTACCCCTTTTCGGCCTACGTGACACTATCTTGTGGGTCCAATGCTGGTTGACTTTTTTTTCAAGTTAATGTCACGTAGGTCGAAAAGGGGTAGAAAATTACTTATAAAATAAGTTCAGGGGTAATAGGACCTTAATATAGTATAAGTGTGTCTCTAAGATTCCAGGCATAGGTTGAGGGGTACTTATACATTATCCCAAGGAAATAATATGAATTGTATATGATGATTGTTTCAGAAAGATTTTATTTTATGAAATAAGAAAATATAAATGAAATAAAAAATGATAATTTAATAATAATAAAAAGAGAAAAAAAATTATTTTCTTGTGTAAAATTTGGTGCAGTATATTAAAGTTAATTATATAGAATTTGGTGTTTGAATTGGAGACGGGGTACGTATATTTTGGGTCCAATATTCAAAATTTGGGCCTTTCTTTTTGGTAGTCACACATGTCCTTTTGTTTAAAAATAAAATCAAAAATTTGGTCTTTAACAAACTTCTAAATATTTATGTGGATATAAATTATGATCGAATGAGAATTTCAAATAGAAATTAAAAAAAATATAACTATCTTTAGAAGAAAATTACGCGGATAAGCAAATATATACTAGTTAATTAGCTAAGATAGCTATAGTTTAAATTAATTACGGCTCACTACTTACTTTTAACTGTAATTATGTCGCTTATACAATATATATACAAATTATATAAATGTATATATACAATTATTTGACAGATATACAAATACAACTAACCTCTTTCCAGTCTATGTCCTCTCTCGCTCACCCCTCTCCTCTCCCTACCAATCTCGCTCACCTCTCTCTACCTCTCCCAATTTCACTCGTCAGATATACAAATACGTATATATACCGATTATATATATACAATTATTGGGCATCTACCTATACAATTCACTTTTCTACCCTCTCTCGCTCGTCTCTCTCCTCCATTGAACGTGTAGCTACGAATCGTAATTAACAAACGATCAGAAAAGGAGCAATAATTAATTTGTTTTTGATATGCGAAAATTCCAATTGGAAAGAGTGTGAAATAAATTTGTATTCGAGAGTAAAAACTATAATTTCGCATAATGTTGCGTGACAATTTTTCTATATTGTCACTCACTTGCATAACATAAATTATAAATACCGTCCCAATTTATTTTCCAAACAAGAGTTGTTCGAATTTTTTTTTTAAAATTCATAATAGTTGAGTACAAAATGATCAGAAATACAATACACACTTCAACTCATTTTTTCTTAAATGAAGACATTCATGATCAAAAGATCATATGAAATTTTCTTTTTCATTTTTTTCTTTTATTCTTATTAAAATCATCAAATAAAGACGACTTTTATACCTAATAATACAATCATCAGAACAAACAGAGCCGTATATGTAGTTGTTTCTCATTCTCTGTCAACAACAGATAGCAGAGGAACATTCACATTGTCACCGCAATTAACAAATTGGTAGTTCACAATAAGGTGTCCTTGTTGATTTCCCACTCCATCTGTATCGATTTGTCGAAAAACGTTAATGTCCAAATCTAGTCCGCCATTGCTGCATTGATCCACGATTCTGACCGTTGTTTGAGCTCCTGTACGTGTATTTGTCACCTATATATATGGTATTAGAATTTTGATATGAAATAATTAAATCTCAAAATATTTAGACATAATACATAAACACGCCCTTTGATTTGATTTCGAATTACATTTATGTCCTTCAGTAGACAATTAAACTTGTGTAAAGTTGAACAAATAGACACACATGTCCTACATGTCATCCTACATGTTGTTTTTCGTCCTACAGTGTGTCCATATTTTTTCATATAGAAATCATGTGTTTATTTATTTAAAAGTTGAACAGTTAAAGTTCATGTTTGTGCATTATGAAAATTGAAAATCAAAGTTAAAATTTGAAGTTAAATTTAAAATCTAATATATGTATTATGCCAAATATTTATCTTACCCTTAAGCACTTTCCGCAGGAGTCTCTACCACGTGGTCCAACAGGACCACAAAAAGCAGTCCAGCCATACTTACTCCGCCATGAGTAAGGCTTATTAGCATCCCAAGTTGAACAGTAAGCGCTAACAGCATTCAAATCCCACCCAACATTCTGCGGGTTATATATATGATACGTTGCTCGAACTTGTGCACCACCACCTGGAGTCGGAGTTGGAGTTGGTCCACCTCTGCATTGGCTCTGGCAACCTTGGCTAGGTGAACAATATTCGGGCGTCGATCCACACCACCCGAATTGACTGCAACACAAGTTGCCACCACATAATGCTCCGCCCCTTTGCCTTCCGCATTGTTGCGCGTTGGTAACAGAGGTTAGGCTAATGCAGAGAACCAGAGCTAGCAAAATGGGAGTACTACTGCTTAGCTTGTTCATTTTTTCGATTGATATGTACCTTTGATTTAATAGATTTGGGGTTTTTTATAGGGGTTTGTTTATTTATTTATTTATTTAGTTTGCTTGTATCCGTGAAATTTTGGGTGCTTGCGGCTGCTTAGACTAGCATTGTTTTAATTAGTAGGTGATATTTTTAAGTCAATGTCAGTAAGGATAAGATTAATAATTACTATATGACATATACTTTCTTTCGTTTCAATTATATGATTTAGTTTGATCAAATATGAATATTTTTTTTTACTTTGTCTAAAATTTGTTATATTATTTTGTGATTTTAGACATAAATAAGTAGAAAGTTTAATATTTTAATAGTTGATAAAAAGTAAAAAAAATATTGAGAAAAAAGTAAATTAAACATATTGAAATGAAAAAAGTGTATAATAATATATTATATGGAGTACATTGTTTTTTAATATTTGGAGTGTTGATTACAAAAGTAAGATATGATATTCTCAAAAGAAAATTATATCGTAAAAAGTTAAATATAATTAGATTTTAATACGAATATTGATCGAAAAAATAAATAAACAATGGCGGCTTTTAGAAGTGCACGACTTGAGGCGGCTATTAAAAAAAAAGTTGGACTGCGTCGTGTCTGGTATTTATCTAGAGAAAGTCCTCCTCGTTGAATTAAAAATAAAGGGACCAAACTTTAAATACACTTCCATGTCCCTACGACGTGATATTTTTTTTTCTTTTAAGCTCTCAAAATAAATAAAATTTTGATATTAATCTTTGTGATCTCTATTTAAAAAATACATCGAGCCTTCATTTCTTATTTGATATATTTGTTAGATCCAATCTACATATGAAATATTTCTATAAATTTTACGAATAATTATATATTAAGTAAATCATTTAAGAGTTAGCATAAGTTGTGTATCGAAAATTTCTAAATGATAGATGTATTATTATGAAAATGTGAATTTAATCGATTTGATATATTATAAATTTGTATCTTTGAAAACAGTTAAAAAAATTTAATTACAGGTTCAAAATTGAAATACTTAATTAATTAAAACGTCAAAAGTATTATCAATAACCATTTAGAGAGATGTTATCCAATTTTAGAGGGAGAAATAATACAAGATAAATATAAAATGTAAAATTCTAATCTAAACACCGAATCATTATCGCGTTAAAAAATATAATACTATTATATATAATTTCAAGAGGAGAGCATAAATTCACGTAAATCTGATGATCCTGTATGTCAATAATTACTTTATATGAATAAAAATAATTATATTTCCCTATATAGTGAGAAAAATAAAGGCTAAAATTAAAATTTTAAATACAGTAGGAATAATTAAGAGACAAAAAGTATCTTTCTTAAGTTTATTTCTACTTCTGACCCACAAATGCGTTGATAATTATGGAAGAGCTGAATAAATGAGTCTAACAAACCAGTTTTTTGAATTATGCTTATACCACCACAGAAATTATGAAATTTAATAGTACTACTCATAAATTTGCATCTTATCCTATTTGTTTATCTCTACGATGCACAAGTGTAAAATTTTTATAATATGAATGTTAAGAAGAAAGTATTAAATGGAAATAATTTATATAATTTATGATACTTGACTTATAATAATATTAGATCAATTTTAAAAAATATGTATATAAAAATGTTACTATTAATGAAGAAGAAAGTATTGAATAGAAATAATTTATATAATTTACGATACATAACTTATAATGATATTAGATCAATTTTAAAAAATATGTATATAAAAAATCTGATTTTGCATATAATAATCATGAGATATTCAATATAAATTTACAAGATTTAGAAAGATAAAATATTACATAAAACCTAGCTCAATTCAATGTAAGTAAGGAAGAAAATGAGACAATAATATAGCAAAATATGAACAAGTGTAGCAATGGATATATATCAATACACACTAAAAAAATAAACTATCTGATATTTAAATCATACTATTATTAGAAGTACGATAACATCTTCTAACCTTATAACACTAGATCTCCATATCTCTTTCTATTTAAAGTCACGTCCTCAGCCAGCTTAAGTTATGACATATCCTATCTAATCACTTCTCCCCACTCTCACACCCCAACACACACACACATACTTTTTTCCATACTTTTCCTTAATTCTTACTATAAATCTATAAAAACATCTCAGAAACCTCCTCTTTAACGCATCTTCACACCTCATCTTCACATATTTAAATTATCTAAGTCTCGCTTTTCCTCCTCTTCCCAACAACTTATTGCTTTCTTTTCACTTTATATGGCATAATATCTCATTTTGGACATTTCAAAATGCATACATATACATTGAATTATTAATATCATAGTATTGTGTTCGATTGAATATCATTGCATTTTAATTTAAACAAAATGAGGGATTAATTGATTACCCAATGGATCAACTTTGTTGGACGTACGTGACTTAGCTTGTCTCAATTCGGATATAACTTTATTGTTATTATTATTATTATTATTATTTTAATTTCATACTTCAACATTTATTTGGATAATCAAACATGAATCTTATCATTCTCTATGTCAACTATAAGATTTAATTATCACCACAATCAACAAACTGATAGTTCACAATAAGATGGCCTTGATGATTTCCGTTTCCGTCTGTGTCGATTTGTCGAAAAACGTTAACGTCCAAGTCTAGTCCTCCGTTGCTACACTGATCTACAATTCTCACCGTCGTTTGAGCTCTTGTACGTGTATTTGTCACCTGACACATAATATCAATTACAAATCTTTATAATGAAATATTGTTATATATAAATATATCTTACCCTTAAGCACTTGCCACATGAGTCGCGACCACGAGGTCCAACTGGACCACAGAAAGCAGTCCAGCCATACTTTTTCCGCCAGGAGTAAGGCTTATTAGCATCCCAAGTTGAACAGTAAGCGCTGACAGCGTTCAAATCCCACCCAACATTCTGTGGGTTATATATATGATACGTTGCACGTATATTTTGCGCGCTACCAGATGGAGTTGGAGTTGGAGTTGGGGTTGATCCGCCACCAGTGCAGCGACTCTGGCAGCCTTTGGAAGGTGAACAAAATTCGGGTGTTGATCCGCACCACCCGAATTGGCTGCAACACAAGTTGCCGCTGCATAAGGCTCCGCCCTTTTGTCTACCGCACTGCTGTGCGTTCGCAATCGCGGATATAATCAACACGAACAAAATATTAATACTAATTAGCTTCGTCATTTTGGAAAGAGTATAATTTGATCTTATTACTTGTGGGGGTTTTATAGTACTTTTTCCCCCCTAAATTGATAGATAGATAATAGCTACTTAGCCTGAATTAGTTTGACAAATTGAGTTGGAAATTTGGGATATTGAAAATTTACTAGTTTCAATAATTTGCTAGATTTAATGTTATGAACTTATTGAAATAGATAATTGGGATTACACCGAAAAATATTAAGAGTTCAAATCGGTAATAATTACTCATCTTCAAAAGGAAAGAAGAAGAAATTAAAAAGGAAAAAGGGAGGAGGTTTCGGAATTAATCTAAGCAATTAAGAAATAAAATACAACTTCATAACACACGCCTAGCACGTTAATTTACTCTTTAATACATATGCATCTTTTCAGGATTCCAAATATAATTTGACATATATAACATTTTAAGTTCAAACCATTTGCTCAATTCGATTGAGTGAGAACTCACTCTAGTGTACTACACTCGATAATTCGATATTCATGTGTTCTTCCAATTATGCAAACTCAGAAAAAAAAATAGAAGTGTGTGAAAAAGTACTCCATTTTTTTTAAGGCAATGTCATGAAAATATAAATTATTATATTTAAATATAAATATAAATTCTGCTTCAAAATTATTATTTTTTATCGATAGAGAAGAATAGCCCTGCCCTATACTCGGGTTATTAAATTTCAATAGGAAGGACTTTAGAAGAAGTATACACTAGTAAGGCTAGTAGGCGGCTTTTAAAGTATAATAAAGCTACAGTTTGGCTTTTAAAGGTTCGATTAGAAAGACGTTACATATGAAGTCATCATTTTAATTATGATGTAAAATTTATCAGATTAGTTTCTATGATTATTCATTTATTGATGATAAGTCAAAATAACAATAATTTAAGTTGTCTACTAGATTAAATAAATATAATTGTACAAAAATAATAAATTATTTACTATTTCACTATTCGTTATACGTGACTTGTTTAGTTGTCACAATTTAAAATTATCTTTCTAAAATAAAAATGCACAAAGTTAACATAATTTTTTTGACCCAAATAAAATACGCTGCCTTATAGTTTTGCGATTGGATAAGGTTTGGCAAATGCATCTAGATTGTTTCTCCGTTACGAATAGCTTCTAGTTATTAATTAATACTTTGACCGCAAAACTAAAATTAAAAATAAAAAATCCTAATGCGACCTTATTATATTCTCCATAGTTATGCGAGAATTTTAGATTTTTTATTTATTGCATCAATAATATTCTTCACTCACAAATTATAAAATTATAAGATTCATGATTATTGTCGGTATAATTTTGAATCTCATAATTTGTTGCAGTGATGATCCAACACATAACAGTATTTGAGTCAATTAAAATCACAAAGAAGTGATTTGTAAAGATCAAATTAGATAAAAATATCTCAAAATATTTTATTTTACATTTTTACCATATAAAGAGATTATATGGGCCTAGAAAGCTCAACTTGGGTTTTGTATCAAAACTCATCTAAGCCCATATACCCAATATTTGGCTCAAATTAATTTGAAAAAATTATATATAATAGTAAACTAATAACCTAAAATAAATAGAATAACTAGGGTTTGATTTAATTGTGCTCCATAACAAACATTAGCTAAAATTTGCCAGCATCTCTCTCCCAAAAATCTCGCTCGCCACTCTCCATTCTCGCTCGCCTTTCTCGCTTTATACATAAAAGTGTGTAATTTTGTTTCTGTTTTGTATAAAGTGAGAGAAAATTGTATATACATATGCAAAAATGTATATCTTCGTGTTATACACTTAATTATACAATTTACAAACATTTTACTTCAAATATTGCAAAGAAAAAGGCCAACGAATTATACAATTGCAGTGAAATACAATTTTCTCTAGCTTTATACAACAGAAGTGTATATATATTGTGTTTCTGTTTTTTTATAAAGCGAGAAAAACATATATCTTCTTGCTATACACTTATAATTATGCAGTATACATACATTTTAATTCGATTCAACTGTATGCAAAGTAAACTATACAATTGCAGCGAAATAGGCCAGCGAATTATACATTTTTATGTTTGCTATAGAGCGCAATCATGCAAACTTTGCTATAGTATAAGTGTGTCTCTGAAATTTCAGGTATAGGTTGAGGGGGTACTTGCGCATTTTCCCAAAAAACTTAAATGAACTTGTGGACTTTTATATCCACTGGCTTGAATCTCATATATATATTAGTACAAACTAATTTAAATATTTATAAAATACGTATTGTTCACTTTGTGCTTAATGTAGAGGTGAATTCAATATTTATATTTAATGAGTTTGATCTTTAGTTTTTTTTGCACTGAACTTATTATACATTTGAAATTATGGGTTCAAAATTTTATATCCTTTGAATTTTTTTTATTGAAATCTTTATAAATAGTTGGTAGATCATACTTTAAGAATGAATTTATTTCAGGGGATAATATTCGTATTCTAGTCAAAAGTGTATATCCACACGCATTCTTGATTTCTTTCACTTTCATTCATTCCTTTTTGTGATTTGTCCCAACTTTGAAACAATAAAAATTTACTCACAACGAATATTTACGATTTACGTTAAATTAAATAATTTAATTTAACTGTTAAAATATATTTTTTATTGGACCAACTATATATACCCGAGAAAGTGTGGGCATATCTGAACTTGTCTCTAACCAATTGATTCATGAATATGTCTCACTCGTATCTAGAGAAATTGATATAACTTCAATTTAATAAATTCATCTAAATTTGATATTTTCAACATGAAAAATAATATGAATGTGAATAAATCACTATATTTGAATTCAAATCCATCATTCTATAACTACAACGTGTACAATATATATTAAGATTTTTATACTTTGAATTTAAATTTTGAATCTGACTCTTCTGATAAGTCATATTCAACCAATAATGTGGAAAGTGTTCTTTGACTTTGTTTGTTAAATGTCGAATGGATATAGTAGACCAAGTTAAATGTATCTATTATTATTATTATTATTACTATTATTATAAGGTATTTCATATTGATAGGTAAAAAGGAACAGCCAATTTCAATGAAAGGACAGTACGGTTTTGTTATAAGTCTCCCATGCATGCATAAAAAGGATATATGTTACAAATAATAATATAAAAATATTGATTAATGAGGAAAGAGATAAAACATATGTAAACAGCTCAATAAAGGAGAGTTTTTTTTTTTTCAAATTCTAATTTGTTCTAGAAAAAGATGTTTGTAATACTCCTCCTTCATCGTGCTGCTATCTTTACTTGTTCAGTATGCTTCGTTAAATTAACATATAAAGATAAAAAGAATTTAACAATATTTTTAATGTACAACGTCTAGGCTCTAGGTCCGCCCCTGCATCCACCATGCATCTTTACTTTGTTTAATAAACTCGATACTATACTTAAGGAGCAATAAATAAATATAGCATTTTTTGAATATATTAAATTTGATATTTTGAGAAATGTATTGAAGAAATGATTAGTTAATAATAAGAGTAAAGTAAAAATAGCGAGATTTTTTTATATGAAAATTTCTATCTAACTGAAAATAATCTCATCATAAACATAAAAATAAGAAATTTCACATTGGCTCGTTGCAATATAACTCTAGTATAGCCCAAAGAACTCTCATATTGTGATATAAATGCAAGAATTAAATAACATGAATACCACTAACACAAAATAAAAGAATTTTAATTTGTACTAATTAACTAATTTAATTTCCTTTATAAGGGTTGGATATTCTTGGTGTGAGGCATTTACAGAGAAAAATATGGAGATTTAATTTAAAACGGATACTATCATAAATACTAATATTAAAAATATTTTTGATCAAAGCAATTGATATTAAAGCTACTATTTCGCCACACAAATATGGAGATGGGGGAGTAATAGATAGCATGGGGTCCGACTTAGGTGTCTTTGCTCATCGATGGGCCTGTGAATTTGCAATGTCTTTGAAGCAGCACACATAAAAAGAGCTTTGGTGATCATAAATGATACATATGATTCATATTATGTAGCTAAAAATTACCATGCATCATGATTAAACTTGGCTCAATTAGGGAGATTGTTAAAGTCCGAATTCTAAAGGGTATAAAATATTAGTAAAAAATTTTTTATAATGGTTGATAAAATTATATATTAATCAAAACGGTAAAATCGCTAGAACAACAACGATTTACTCCACCGAAAAAAGCAAAATCGTTGCTACTGCAGCAATTTTACAAAATGTGATTTTTTAAAAAAAAATAAATTAAATCGCTACCTAGGCAGCGATTTTCAATTGTTTTAATTTTTTTTTGAAAATCGTTTTAGTTAATATAAAATTTTATATACCGTTTTAAAATTTTTGTTAATATTTTATACCTTTAGACTCCGGACTCGAAATTGTTGTGCATCAGTTGTTAACACATGCATATTGAAACTTACAATTTTCTCAACTCAACTATGCATATATTAAAAAAAGGAAAAAGGATTTGAAAAATATTTTAACTTTGATCGAAATTGTTGTTACGATATCAAATTTATGGAGGACCTTTTATCCCCTGAACTATTTAATAGTGTAATTTAAACGTATATATATGTCCAAGCAGACACATTACTATTTATAATTATGCAATATTTTTTATGTCCATGTGGGTACATATACACCTTTTGAAAGACAATATTAAATAGTGAATGAGGGTAAAAGGTCTTTTTCAAAGTATGATATCGTAACAACAATTTCAGTCAAAGTTCGAATATATTTCAAATCCTTTTTCCTATAAAAAAAAAGAAGAGAGAGAGATAAACAAGCTTTTTATGAATATATTTCAAACCCTTTTCCCTATAAAAAAAGAGAGAGAGAGATAAACGAGCTTTTTATGAATATAATTTACTTCTCTTCATATTAGTTGTCTATAGTATTAAAACTAGTTATTCTACATTACTCGTCGATTTACAAAACCAAAAGAGATAACTGACTAATTTTTCTCTTCTTACAATTACA